ATCTGTGTTATCTGTGATTCCTGTTTATGTTATGCAAACTTCGGTGCTCCCCAGCCATATTTGCAGTGAAATTGATAAAAGAATCAGGAATTTTATTTGGGGGACCACCGCGGAGGAGAGGAAAATTCACCTCCTCTCTTGGGATGCCATCTGTCAACCAAAGCAACAGGGTGGTTAGGGACTCCGCTCAGCTAGACAGCTTAATCAGGCTTATATGGTAAAATTGGGGTTTCATTTCCTTACCAACGAGATGAATTGTGGGTGCATGTGCTTCAAACTAAGTATAATCGGGAGACAGAAACAAGATATTGGCCGCGACATTCCTTTTCCAAATAAGTAATTTGGCATGGGATCGTGGCAGCCCTACCTACAGTGGAGATTGGAATGAGGAATGGAATCCGGGATGGCCGCAACACACCATTCTGGACTACTCGCTGGCTGGACTCGGGCGAGAAACTTATCGACTATATTCTTCCTTTTGCTCCAGAACCAGACTTCTCTGCGCTTGTGTCACAGTTCTGCACAGCTTCTGGTGAGTGGAATTTCCCCCTTCTTCGTTCCTTGGTCCCAGAAAATGTGGTGTTGCATATTGCAGGTATGTCCCCCCCCCCCCGCCGCCCTGGTAGTGGAGATGATACTCTTGTTTGGGGTTGTGAAAAGGATGGCCGCTTCAGAATTCAGTTAGCATACGCCCTACTTGGTGGACAGACTAACAGAGAAGAAGGACCGGAATGGAGACTTGTTTGGCATTGGCGTGGCCCCAATCGTATTAGACATTTCCTTTGGCTCGTGGCACACAACCGGCTACTAACCAATGAGGAAAGAAGACGTAGACATATGGTAGCAGAGGGCGTCTGTTCACGCTGTAATCAACACCAGGAAACAGTTTTGCATGTGCTACGGGAGTGTCCTTTTGCGATTACCACTTGGGAGCCCCTTGCCTATCTTGCTGCTGATCGAACAAACTGGGAGTCCCCACATCTGCCTTAGATCACCACCTGAAGGCACGGAGCAATAGTCTTCTCTTTGGGGTTGCCTGCTAGTCTCTCTAGAAGGCCAGAAATGAGGTTATTTTTACTGATATCCACACCACCCCTGAGTCCCTTGCCCAGCGTATCCGACATTGGGTTGAGTCTATTGAAGAGGCTTTGAGACTTAACTAATCCACACATACCGATATACCAACCAAAATGATGGTTGATATCTCTTGGCCGCCTCCACCAACCGCATGGGTGGCTCTAAATTTTGACAGGTCAGTTATTCCTGAGACTGGACGAGCAGCTGCAGGAGGGTTGTTCAGAGATTCTGATGGTCGCTGCTTAGCACCATACTCGATGAACCTGGGTTTTTGCTCGATCACTAGGGCTGAAGTGAGAGCTGTTGTACAAGGATTACATTTTGCTTGGGAGTTTGGATATCGCCGGGTACGAGTGCAATTGGATTCGCATGCAGCTATTCAAATTCTGATGGAAGAAGGTGATCGTGCTCACCAGCATTCTTCTGAGGTTGCACAGTTTTGCGAGCTTTTAAATCGTAATTGGACGGTCAGAGTTGAGCATGTTTATCGGGAGGGTAACCGGGCAACGGACTTTTTAGCTAGCCTAGGCCATAGATTTCCTATTGGCGTTCATTTTATTTCTACTGTTGATTCTAGATTATCGTTACACATTTTGTATGACTTTCTTAAGATTTCCCAAACTCGTTTGATCATTAATAATAGGTAGGAGCTAATGCTCCTATGTTTCTACCAAAAAAAATTATACTCAGCAAAGTCCATTATATGATGAATTTACGGATGAAGTTGCTAATAGACTAGCAAAAAATGTTTAAATTCAAGATTGTTCTTGTCGTAAAATTATTAACTTTTCCTACCATGTAACGTTACTCTTTTGTTTAAATAATTCATAGTATAGTTATTTTTAGGCATATGATCCAAATAGGAGGGTAATTCAATTAACATGATTTAGATTTCTCACTCAACATACATAGTTGTTTAAGTACCCATTTGATAACCCTTGTTTTTAACTTATCAGATCAATTAACCCTTTTTTGTCAAATATGAGTCTGATCTTGTTTTTCGACTTATCAACCAGCTTTTTCAACAAGAACATAATTTTTTATTTCTTGTAATTAATTGTATGATAATCAAAATAAGTAAAGTTGTATTTACTTTGCTGGCTGAATTGGATGGAAATTGCTTAGATGAATTTTTAGCTATTTGTTCTCTTTATTATTTTAAGGTAAAATAAATTTAAATAATACAACTATGTTCCATGAAATAGCTTTTAATAATATCAACTATTTTAATATATATCATAAGTGACACATAGCAAATTTTCACTAAAAAATCAGTTATTTAACTTATCAAAAACTAATTTCAAAATATCAAATAAGTGACCATATTTCCAAATATCAATTATTTGATAATTTGATAATAGTTTTTGATGTCTTGAATGGCTGGATTTCTTTTAGAAAAGTGACACTATTTTATTTCTGGTTTACATTCGGATAGTTGCTATCATTAAACGTTATTTCTAAAATATGTATCATTCTTGGTTCATGAAAGATACTTGGTATTATTTAAAGTAATTTCCCCTTTTTTAATAAAAAATATTTTTAATTTTTTTATGATTCAACAGAATCGGCCGATTCAGTCAATTACAGTGCTACCAAACAAGTTCTACGTAGCTTTTGATTTCACGCGAAAATTTATGTAATAATTAAAATGTTTAAATATGTTTTTAATCCCTTCAAATATAGTACATTTTGTTTTACATCCTCACAAAATTATTACTCCAATTTTTTATTTTCATCCCTATAATTTATGTTGATTTTCTTTTTAGTACATCACTGATGATGACAACCTCTGTTTGACCTCAAAATAACCCCGATTAATAGATTTTCTTTAATTATTTGTTTTGTTATTTAAAAAGGATTTAATTTTTTAGAAGGTTTTTTATATAAAATTTTAAAATATGAATACTTAGTTTTATATTATTTTAATTCTCATATTAGTCTCAAAAAATTAAATAAAATGACTTTTGGTCCCTGTTATATAGTGAAATAGCCTAAAGTGGGGTAGATAGATTGTTTTGGTTTAAAAAACTTCTTGCGAGACAGAGAACTGTCTCATAGAGCTGGTCTTATTCGTCACAGAACAGACCTACAATGGATGATAGTTATGGTCGGGGTGCCTCACACAGAAGCACACTAAGACATAATTGCCTTTCTGTTATCTGTAAGAGTAAGATCCGTTGAACACAAAGTCCAAGCTCTTTAAAGAAAAACAGTTTAGAACAAGATGCATGAAGTAAGATCAGCAAGTAAATGACACTAGGTTTTATAGTGGCTCAAGGAACAACTTGTTTCTCTATTCCACTGCCTCACTAAACTTGTAAAAACTCGTTATACCCTAGCACTTAAGAAGTTCTTCATGTCTTCTTCAAGTATAATCCTTTGTCGCCCGGGATGCACTTCCAGGCTTCCTGATGATTGGCTTATTCACTAAGCTTCCTTGAAGTATCACCACTTCACTCTAGTTACTTTGGCATTCTTCTTTAACAAGAAGATAGCTTTGAATGAGTTCAAAAATTTTCCTCCAGCGTACTGCATATAAGATATGTAGATGAGGATTTCAAAGTGGTTGAAGAACTAGGGCAAACTCGTGTTGAGAGGGATATAGGATTTGAAATACTGGCTTCCAAGCTCTCGTATGAAATTCTTGTGTTGAGTGTACAATTTTTGCCCTCGATAATTTTCTAGGTTAAATTCTAAATTTGTAGTTGTCCTGTTATTCGAGGTGTATCTTATATACTGGTAGAGGTCTTCCCGTTTTGGAGTATAGAAGACATCTTTATTTAATGCGTGTACCGCAGACTGAACGATTAGTTCCCATACTCTTGTCTAACTTATTATTTTGGGGGGGTATTAAATATTAGTTTTATGGATTCTCCGATCCGGTCAATCATGCACATTTAATATCTCAACGGGTGGGTTGCATTAAATGAGCATTTAATGTGTTGCACAATGCTTCTTCCGTTGAGAGGCTCCTATTCGTTAGAGTATGTTCCGTTTGTTAAACGGATATCTCAAAGCATTTCTGATCAAACCAGTTGAGGGGGCATTTTTGATGCGCTTCTGTTGTAGTAGCTCAACTAGCGATTCTGTCAGGGAGCAATTCTACCCAGGAAGAATTAAAAGGAAAACATTAATTATAATAGTTTAATTAATGTTCTACTGAATTGATATATAAAAAACATGTTGAATGTATTTTATTGATGATGTTAGAATGAAGATAAATATAAATCTAATTATCTAAATAGTGTTTTTATATGAGGGAGTCCAAATGATCTTATCTTAGGACTTTTTTTTGAAACAATCTTATCTTCGGACTTAAAACAAGTACTCCGTAAATACTAAGTTAGGGGGTGTTTGGAACTAATTCTGCTTCTACTTCTGCTTCTTTTTTAAAGCAGAAGCAGAATCAGAATCAGTGTTCAGAAATTGGTACCACCAGCTTCTAAAAAAACTGATTCTGAGAGTAAATTAGAGCATCAGAAGTGCTTCTGGAATTTCACCCAAATACTCCAGCTTCTTCTTCTACTCCCTGAATAAGCAGAATTAGTTTTGAGAATCAAATCCAAACACCCCTTACTTTTAAGCAATAAGCAACCCTTGGCCTAGAGTACAGACTAGGTAGTGCTCATCAATAACCTGGCGAGCGAGGTACCTACCTATCATCTAATGGTGGTCAAAGAGCGTTGCAGAGGCAGCGACGTCCCAACTTCTTAAAACTCTCACGCTTGTGCCCTGAAAAGCTTCCGCCATTCCGCACTTGATGAAATAGTAGCTTGCTTTCTACTCTCTCCAATTGCGTCTCCGTTTTCCACTTGCTTTCACAACACTGGATCTGAATACTCTAGATCCAGATCCTTCCTTCATTGATCTCACCTTCATCCTTCATTGCTACGTTGATTGAGATAGACTATACAGAGAAGATACGGGCGCCTGAGCTCAGAGTTGGTGAGGAATATGAATATCCTTGGTGGCGGCAGCGGCGGCGGCAGAGGAGTGGTGGAGTGCAGCGTTTGTCACTCAAAGTTGGGAGTCTCGCCCCACTCCAAGGCCGTGTCTAAGGCCTACGATCGGCACCGGACGGACGTCTCCTTGAAATCTCGCGCCTTTAACATCTTTTTGGTCGGTGGAGATTGCATACTGGTTGGCTTACAGGTATGTTTACCAACCTCAGCTTATCTATTGTCATCACATGTCTAAATACTCTTGAGCTTAGATTGTATTGGTTGCAGATTTAATTGTCTTTGTAATTTTTGGCATTCGTTTTTTCTTGTGGGGTTGCAGCCTATACTGGTATATATGTCAAAAGTGGATGGGAGTTTTAAGTTTAGTCCCATCAGTGTTAATTTTTTGACTGAGATTGCCAAAGTTATCTTCGCATTAGTGATGCTCTGTATACAGGTAATTTCGATTCTTAGATACCTCTATCTGGTTCTTGGTTCCTGTTCAATATCTTTTTCTTGTTTTGTGCATTTAAAAATCTTATAAAATTTGCAGAGTAGGCATCAGAAAGCTGGAGAGAAGTCCCTTCTTTCTCCTTCTACTTTCATTCAGGTTAGAGTGGTTGATGCCACAATTCAGTTGTTCTCTAATTGGAAGACAATGATAGAACTGCATAATAGAATAGGAGCTTCACTTTTCTTTAGATTTTGGCATTGTTTTTAATATTGACCTTATAAAATACACCATCTTCTTTAAGGATGTTAGTTGGGAAAATTCTTGATATAGGAGTGAAAATGTTTTGGAATTCCAAAATAGGAGTACTATGTTTGTATCCCCTAAATAGGAGTAATTACTGTGAAGATTGGAAAATATAAAACCTGGCAATGCCAAGGCATGGGGGTAATTACTCTTATTTGGGGAATACAAACATAGTTTTATTCACAAACGTTTCTGGTTGCTTTAATTATCATGTTTTCCCAGTTCCCGCGATCTTTGGGGTATTAAAAGTTCATCCTTTCCCTCTTCTTGTTGTTCGCAGGCAGCAAGGAACAATTCTCTACTGGCTGTTCCAGCTCTATTTTATGCTATTAATAACTATCTGAAGTTCATCATGCAGGTAAGATTTAAGGAAGTTTTTGTTGGAAAAGGGTTTCAGTGTGAAGTTGGTGGCCCTGAGAGTATAAAAGCTTGCCCTTATGTGTCTCAGAATTACTAACGATGTATATTTAGGAGTTGAACTTTGGTTTAGCGTTTATCACGCATTTTAGCATAAAAATACGAAGTACTCCCTCCGTCCCATTTTACCTGTCTTACTTTCCTTTTGTGGGTTGTCCCAAAATAAGTGTCCACTTTCCCTCTTTGGAAAGAAATATGTGGTTCACAACATTTCACTTTACTATAACCAAATCTCAACCACAACTTTTACCTGTACAACCACTTTATTAAAAATTGTGCCAAAACCAAAGAAGACACATAAAATGGGACGTAGGTAGTAACACACAAGGATATCAGGACTTGGCTATTTTTAACGACATACACTTTAATTACCTTCTGAAGTTAGGATTTCATAAAATCACTCTTTGTTAGCATTGAAGAGCTTATTATATTAGTTTATAATATTATACTGTTATGTCAACTGAGAATAATTACTTCCTAAGCATACAAGGTTTCGAAAGGAGAAGTTGATCTTCGAGGCAGTCAGCCCTTGCCTCACTCAGCGTAAGTCTTGATGTGAAGTGAGGCGTGAACGTCAAATTAATATTAACAACAACATCCAAACCTTATTCCCAATAGCGTCAAATTAAATAAAATAATTATAAAGAGGATAATGGGAATTTTTTTAAGGAAAAATTGATAGTAATAATCCCAACTATTGGCGGTCCGCTCATAATAATCCCAACTATCGATTATTTCAGGACAATCCCAACTTTAGGGACCTTCCGCCAGTAATGGTCCCTATATATAAATCCATATAGTTTCTGAAGTGGATGAGAAGATATATAACAAGTAATCCCTATAAATAATCCCAAATTTTAATTTTTACGCTTAATTTCTTTTTAAAATTCACTTGTTATAGGAGTAATATATGGTCATGGACCATTATTGGCGGACGGTCCATATAGTTGGGATTATACAAAAAATAATCAATAGTAGGGATTATTGTTAGCAGAACGGCAATAGTTGGGATTATTATTTTTAATTTTTCCTTTTTTTTAAATAAGAGTTAAAACAATGTGAAATTCCAAAATAGAAGTAGGATGTTTCCCCCCTAAATAGGAGTGCATTATTACTATCCTTAAATAATAATGCCATATTTTGGCATTACCCGATATTAATATATGTTCTTACTACTAATCGTTAAAATTTGAGTTAGAACATGCTCAAGCTTATATAATTTAAGTTTCTAAATTCTAACTACTACTCTTCAAACTTAATAGCATCATCATTTACATTATCATATAAATTTAGAACATCATAATCAATTTCATCTCCTTCCATATCACAAGCTTCAACATCTTCATTTATGGCAGTTAACTAGCTGGCGTAGCTGCTTAGAAATGACAAGAGATTATAGAGAAAGAGAGAAGAGGAGATTAAAGACAGACATAGAGATGGGGTCTGTAGTAGAAAGGAGAAAAAACGGTAAAAAGTGAAGAAAACGGGAAAAAATTAAAACATATCAATTACAGAGAGTTAGAGATAGGGGTGAGAAACCAGTAGACTCTGGACTGCTCTGTTACTGATGATGATGGAAAGGGATGCAGACGGAAAGAACACATGGGTTCTTTCATCTGTTTTTTTAAAAGAAAAAAATAAAAAATAATAAAAAGAGATGGAAAGACTATATTTGGCTCTACGAAATCGAGTTAAGACTTGATAAGACTCACACCATTGAGCCTTACACCTCTGTACCATGGACACTACGTGGTGTAAGTCTCGTTTAAGTCATGTAAGGCTTAATCCTTAGAGGCTGTTTCTCATGCCTTGAGGCCTCAATGCTAGGCGTTAGGCTCGCACGGCTGTTAAAACCATGTAACCATGCATAATGGACATTTTGCTTTCCTGTTACTGCCATTTTTCTGTTCAGTATTGAAATATTGCTGGTGCATTTGACTGATATTTAGCACGGTTCCAGAGTTCTAATGCATGGTTTCCTTGCAGCTGTATTTTAACCCTGCAACAGTGAAGATGCTGAGTAATCTGAAGGTATCCTTGTAATTAGTTTGTTGGTTTGACATAGATAACTCCCTGCTAAATCATGTTAGCCTTATGTGCATAGAGTTCCCAAAACTTCGGGTGAGACATTTCAACAAGAGACCCCCCCTCCTCCCCAATAATCTGAAGTTCAAATGTCATCTATCTTGAATAAAGACAATCAGTTTAGGCGACAAATAAAAAGAATCATTTTAATAATTTACACAGATTGCTTGCAGCCTTGCACAACAAGTCCCAGAAGGATTTTGAAATGAAATTACTTCCATTAAACTATACTAGATGCCATCTTATCAGGAGTTACCTTTGATAAAATGTACAATGCCCTTCCATTTCTGTTCTTCTTGAATTCCATTTATGATGGTAACATTAACAGGTTTTGGTCATAGCACTTTTGTTGAAGGTAATCATGAGGAGACGTTTTTCCATACTTCAGGTGAGTTATAAAAAGTTTTGCCTTTTAATTCTTATGCCGTGATTCATTGTGATCATTTATGTATGGACTATTTATCCATTCATAAAACCTGTTCTGACTTATCTCCCTTTATCCATGATTCTGTTATTTTCCAGTGGGAAGCTCTTGCACTTTTGCTTATAGGTATTAGTGTGAATCAACTGCGATCTCTGCCAGAAGGATCTATTGCTATTGGGCTTCCAGTGACAACAATAGCGTATCTGTACACACTGATTTTTGTAAGTAAATTGCAATCCATTTCATTCTACACTTCTGCATACTAGTTTCATCTTTAAACAAACAGATGTTACTTGTTTAACTGTTATAGATTAGTGGCCCATTCCTTTTTCACTTCCTCATGATATCTGGCCTTCTATGTTTAGAAGCACTTTTGTTTCATTGCACGCTTAGACATAATCTTAGTTTAAAAAGCGCACATCAGACGTGCCTTGGCGCAAGGCACAGAGGGGCGATAAAAAAATTGCATCAAGAAAGCTGGGCACAGCAGATTTCCGAGAGCGCACACTTTCCTCGCTCCCCCCCCACCTTTTCACGCATCATGAGGCGTACGCCTCATCCGACTCTGGGATTGAGTTTCCCCGCATAAGTGTCAGGACTCGTGAGGCTATCAAAGTCCTGCGACTGTACAATTCTCTTATGTGTAGTATTTAAATAAGGTGTCATGTACTTCTTAGATTCCTATTCATGCTCTTCTTGATCAATATATCATTCTTCCGGTCTTCCCCTTCTCTCTACCCCCAGACTTTGCCCATCAGGTTTCACTCTTTCTCTAGTTAAGTTTTGTTCCTCCTTTCTTCTTGGACTTTTCTTAATCTGTTACTGTATTACCTCTTCAATTAATATTATATTCTTCTGCTTCTGCATATTCTTCTCATGAGTTAACACTATGTCTCTTGCTAATGTGTAATTGCTTGAATATTTATTTTCTTTCTGTTGTGACTGTAAGCTTAATGACTAAGTTCTCAGAGGCTCACACCTCAGCTAAAATGAACAAAAATGCCTCATACCGCCTCACGCCTTTTAAAACTAAGGATATAATCAATATATAGTTTGGGGGTACTTTTTTGTCATGCCCAACTACATTGTAAAATACCAATCTTTCAACATAGCATTTCGAGCACCCTGACTGTTGTTTGTGAGGGGCTGGATAATGCGCACTCATCCACTGGGTATTACTCTCACAATTTTTTTTGAATAATGGTACCTCCGTCCCCTAACATTGGTACAAGAAGAGGTGGTGCGATTACCAAGAAAAGTGAGTATGTGGTGGGTATTCAATTGATAAAGTGATAACTAAAGTAATAACGATTTAGAATCACACAAATGTTGCCAATTTTGGTATATGACAGTCTTAGTGGGACGGACCAAAAAAGAAATATGAGACAATCTTAGCGGGACATAGGGAGTATTTTGTTTCTGGATTTCTGACTTCTTTCATTTTCTTCTCAGTGTTAAAACATATCTAAAAGAATATAAAGCTCACTGTTCCCTTTTTTGCTATCTCACAATTAAAATCACTTTCCTTTTATGGACAGACTTATGTGATTTACATTTGCTCTTGCTTTAAAAAAGAAACTGCACAATTTCAATTTCATATTAAGCATGCATTTCTCAGCATGTTGTTTTATTGTTTTTGTATTAAGCATGCATTTCTCAGCATGATGCTTATATTGAGACTTAAGAGTATAAGCTATACTCTACACCAAAGAAAACTTATGCTCAGTCCTACACTAGTTTCTTTCATCAATAATCAGCCTAAATGCCATTGGATTGCTTTGTGTTTACAATATCTTGGTTTGGAATACATGCTCTTTATTTTATCCACGTTGAGGCTACTCGTGCCCCGGTTAAAATGAATAAAAATGCCTCATACTGCCTTGTGCCTTATAAAACTAAAGGATATAATCAATTAAAAGTTAATCATAAGACACTTCTTGGTGGTACTCTTTTGTCATGCCCCAACTACATTGTAAAATGCCAATCTTTCAACATATCATTTGGAGCACCCTAATTGTTGTTTGTGAGAGGCTGGGCAATGGGCACTCGTCCAAAGGGTATTACTTTCACAATGTTTTTTTTGAATAATATTTTGTTTCTGGATTTCTGTCTTCTTTTCATTTTCTTCTCAGTGTTGAGCATATCTAAAAGAATATAAAGTTCACTGTTCTCTTTTTTGCTATCTCACAATTAAAATCGCTTTCCTTTTGTGAACAGAGTTATGTGATTTACATTCGCTCTTTCCTTATAAAAAAGCAACCACACAATTTCACTTTCATATTAAGCATGCATTTCTCAGCATGTTGTATTAAGCATGCATTTCTCAGCATCATGCTTATATTGAGACTTAGGAGTATAAGCTATACTTTACACCAAGGAGAACTTATGCTCAGTCCCACACTAGACTCTTTCATCAATACTCAGCCTGAGTACCATTGGCTTGCTTTGTGTTTAACTGTTTACAAAATCATTGTTTGGAATACATGGGCTTTATTTTATCTGTGTTGAGGTTACTCATACATCCATGACTTTCAGGTTACTGTTCCATCAATGGCTTCAGTTTACAATGAGTATGCCTTGAAAAGCCAATATGATACCAGCATTTATCTTCAGGTGCAATTCCGTTACCTATTTTTTTTTCATTTAGGGATTTGTGGGCGTACACAGAAGCTTCTGCTAGAGCATTGCCAATACTCATTTAGATCCTATTACTTCCAACAGCTAGCTGTGCAAGTGTGCAACTATCATCAAAATTCCGAAGTCAGATTATCCAATTCGAATGAGAACAATACTTGTCCACGCCTTCTAAAATATGACTTTTGTTTAAAAGAATGGGGTATTAAAAATGTATTATATGTGCTGGTGGAGGGAGCAGAAGGGATCCCTGTTAACATTATAATTCCCATGGGGGATGGAGAGTAGGGTAGGGGGGTTTGGCTTACAATTTGATGTTCTCACTTCTCACATCCCTATTTCCTGGTGCTCTTCAACATGTGGTGCACATTCCTTATTTACATGCACTATTTGAAGAAAAACTTTATGCGTGCAGAACTTGTTTTTATATGGTTATGGTGCAATCTTCAATTTTCTTGGAATACTCTTATCTGCCCTTTTCAAAGGTACGCATTAAAACCCTAAAGCATTTACAACTTTTAGTAACAATAAACCCTTCATAAAACCCATGCCCTTCAAAGCTACAAAGTATTAAAATTTTCATTTCTGCCTTCATTTTTCTATTATTTCTTCGCTCTTTAATTGGTTCATTGTATTCGAATGCATATGCTCTTTAATCTTTAATTGCTTCATTGTATTGAATACATACTTGCGTAGTTTACACTATGTATTCGAATTCATAGTATCTTCCCAGGCTGATTGTGTAATAGTTTACATTATGATTTCTAGGACCTGATAGCTTGGATATTTTACAAGGACACTCAAGGGCGACTATATTTTTAATATGCAACAATGCTGCACAAGGGGTCTTGTCCTCATTTTTCTTCAAATATGCTGGTAAAAATATTGCAGATTATTTCTCATTTTTTACAGTTTGGATATCCAGCACTACATATCACTAGCAAATGTTGCATGTGAGGTTCTGACTGATCTTAAGGAGGTTATTGTTTTCTGGGTCATTTTGACAAAAACTTGGCAGAAAGTTTGATACTCATAAGGTTCTCTGTGGCTCTCTGTGGCACAATGAAAGAAAATCTAATCTATCTGTAGCTATTACGGTTTACTAGCCAAAGTTGTCATGGCACATGGAGATCATCATGGCGCCGGGGCAGTTTACCGTGATGATGGCAACGGCGCATTTATGGCGTCGCCATAGTACATTAAAACTAAGAAGTATAAATATGACCTACAGACAAGATAGTAGTATGAGTTAACCACCAATAAGAGTTAAATAACCAAACTAATACAGTAATACTATATCAATATACATATTTTATACATAATATACAGTATACACATATACCACCTCCGTTATTTTTAATTGCAATAGTTTACTAAGTCTTGGGAGTAGCCTCTTGTCAAAATTTGACAGGGAGGTCATGGGTTCAAGTCTTTTTTATATGTTGCTGTGTGACCGGGGAGGTCACGGGTTCAAGTCTTGGGAGTAGCCTCTTGTCAAAATTTGACAGGGGAAGGCTTGATCCTAATACACCCTTGTGGTGGGACCCCGCCTTGTTGGGATGTTTTTGTGCACCTGGCTGCCCTTTAAAAAATGTATTCTCTGGCCTACAAATGTTGCCTAACATCTCTTAAATGCAGATGCTTTCCTCTTTTTATTATAAGCTTCAAGATTTCGAACTAGAATTTGGTCTGCCAAAACACACAAAGTTTGAATATTTTATGCAAGTCTTTTTGAGGAACTTGGAACCTAGACAACAACTATTTTCCCCAAGAATCGCTTTCTCAAACATTTCAGAGTTGGAACTCCAAGTTTTTGTTTACTATGTATTAGACTAAAGTATTCCATCATTTCCAATAGAGCCTAAGACTCACTATTTTTTGGCTTGGGAATACGATGGAATAAAGCAAAATGGCTCACTAAACTGTTTCCGCTTCTTTGTTATAAAGTAGCAGTCACTTCGTGCAATTTTCGACGCAATTTTCATCAGGGGTAAGGCTGCGTACATCTGACCCCCCTTACCCCACCGTAGGTGGGAGCCTTTACGGCACTGGGGTAATGTTGTTGTTGTATGTATTAGACTATATTCTCACTCTTGGCTATAGACTTTTAAAACAAAACTTTCATGCTGTTTCGTGCACTAGTAGTAACAAAAAAATCCTTCCATTTTGTTACTATCTATCAAAATTCTTGGTTCAAATTTATGTACCATATTGTTCTGCATGTGTTATGTCCATTCAATAAGAGCTATCAAGTTTGAGTTTTCTGGACAGAATTTAGTCTTGTAAGTTAAACTCCATCACCTTGCCACCAATACTGAAAGGCACTAAATTGTTCAAACTTTGTATTGTGGATGCAGATACAATCTTGAAGAAATATTCATCCACGGTTGCCACAATTTTTACTGGAATAGCATCTGCTGTTCTGTTTGGTCATACCCTGACAATGAATTTCGTTTTAGGAATCTCTATAGTGTTCATCTCAATGCATCAGGTAATTGGTGAAAGTTTCTTCTCTTGTTTTTTTGTAAATATCCTCTGTTTTCACCCTTTTCTCCGTCTTCCTTTTCTTTCTTATCTATTTTAATGCTTTTGTCCTTATATATATATATATATAGAGAGAGAGAGAGAGAGAGAGAGAGAAATGATCAGGTCCAGCCGGAGGGACAGGAGCCGCCTTACGAACTCCGCCGTTTGGGGCGGTTCCCGGTGGAATTTTTTGATGAATTTTTTTGAGCATGTTCCTCATCAAGTCTAGTTTGTCCATACCAAATTTCAGCTCAAAATTCGATCGAGAAGGCATTCAAATCATTTTTTGAAGTTGACTGCGCCAAAATATACATATAAAGATGCAGTCAACTTCAAAAAATGATTTTAATGCCTTCCCGATCGAATTTTGAGCTGAAATTTGGTATGGACAAACTAGACTTGATGATGAACATGCTCAAAAAAGCAGAATATTTATAACAATTCTGGTAAAATGTATATATGGTCTTCCCCTATATATATGGTCTGTCAGACCAAAACGGTTCTCACTATTCGATTGTGTCAAAGATGGTCCAAAGGTTCACATTTTTTGCTCATTCGTACTCCCTCTGTCCCTTATAACATTCTCAATGTTGATTGGTACGTAAAATAATAAAATAAAGAATTGTGTGGTTGAGGTTTATACAGAGGAGAGAGAAATAACCAGAAATACAAATTCATTATTTAAAAGGGAAACTTGCAAAGTTATAAGGGACAGAGGGGTATTAAGCATTCATTTCAAACGCTGGATCGTTTCAGTGATTCAATTTGGCTGAATGTAGATGTTGGAAATGCCACTTTTCATTTCAAACGTTAGATTCATATCAACATTTTCAAATTTCACCATAGATAGCATCTATACTTTTATCTATTCAGTTCTTCTCACCCATGTCAAAAGTCAAGGAGGACCCACAAAATGGTGGTTTGGAAATCATAGATACTAAATTCAGGTACGCCCATTCTTCATTATTTTTATTTCATTTATTGTATACATATTACAGACACAAAATGATGATCCCGATTCCTGAGTGTGGATCATGAAAAGAATTTCATTACATGGATTTGTACTATTGTGCAGGTCGAAGGATTCCTCATTTTTGGATATGGCTACCGGAGCCCATGAAGATGTGAGAATCCGTATACACTGTTAAAAAAGCTACCTGTTAGTCTTCCTAATTTTCAAGGTTTCCTTTATTATTTCCGACTCTTATTTTCATCTTTTTTTACAGGCAAGCCATCGGATCCCACTTGATGACAGAGAACCTCTTCTTCCTAGATGAAAGTATCAATAGGTAATGCGTCTGTTGTTTGGTAGAGCAATGTCGGAGAGATGTCACAGTTCCACTTGGCATTAACTGCGGTGCTTTTGTTTTGCTGAATTGCAACATTTCAACTGTATACACCTTTTAGTTGAAGTCTATTTACGTTTGTGATACAAAATTGAGAGCATGCTCTATTAGCAAGATGTGAATATAAATGCTTAACCATTGGGTTTGATTAGAAATTATTTCAGGTATATACATATCATTGGAGTGGCATTCTTTGGCTTGTCAACATGGATGGATAGTACAGATGCTGGACCATTTATATATATAATAATGATGATGAATCTCAAGAGTATTACAATCATTTCTTTTTTTTTTTCTTTTTCAACTCAAAAAGGTCTAGGGAAATTTTTATGAGCACCAAGATTTTTAATCATGGTATATGAGGATAATTTTGTACGTAGTATTTGTTTCTTGCTATTTTTATTTTTGAACTAAAATCCGCACTCGGACATATTTCCATTTAATACGTACGTTGTAGAGAAGATCGGACTGTTAAAGTGGTCAACTCACTATCCCTAGTGCCTCTATGTTGATACATCCTATAGTCGTAAACAACTTTATTTCCATGCTTCTTTGAAGAGAGAAAAATGTGAATTTTATTTCTCGTCTCATATCAAATTTAGTAAAGTTTATGTGGTTCTAGATCATTTGTATTTTATCAATACAATATTAATCATATAAACTCATAATCGTGTTCCCCTCCCATATCTCACTATCACAAATAAAATAATAAATCATTAGTTCCTTTTACGATGTATAAAAACATTTGATGTGATTTGATACGAAAATGTTTTTGGTGTCTTGAAAGTTGAAACAAGCAGCAAGTTTTTCTATACTACGTATATGATAATGTGATTACAATTTGGGTTTGTATGATCAATTAGGGTGATTGACGAAACAGGGTAGAATCTTTGCTGACAATTCCAAATGGTGTAGATTCTGGTCTGTAGATCATTCCAAAGGCTGAACATATTTGGTGAATATGTTCAATGGATTTCTCTGGTTTTCTATTAAAAAAAGATCGAAATCAGAGAACGTATTTGGTGAATATGTTCAATGGATTTCTATTTAAAAAAAAAGAAATCAGTGAACGTATTTAACGAATATGTTCAACAATTTTCGATTAAAAAAAATCAAGCAACGTATTTGGTGAATATGTTAAACGATTTTCGATTAAAAAGAGGTTTGAACAGATTCAGGTAACAATGCTTTATTTATTTCATCCAACATTTCAAAAACAATTGTACACTACAATCTACTGAAATGAAAATTTATATATTCTGAATTGAAATATTTATTGAAATGATAAGAAACAACTTGTTATTAAAAACTTAAAAAGTACAATTCCTTCGTAATAAATTATTAAAAACGCTGAAATATTAAAAATACATGAAATTATTGGTGTCCTCTTCTTTTGCTTGGACGCATATCCATCTCATTTTGAAACCTTGTTTATTGACGACGCCCCACCCGAGAAGTTCGTGATAAATATTTTGGCGGTAAAAGATGGATCCCAATATCCGGCCACTCATTCATATTTGGTAAAGGCATAATATCACCAGCATGTGCATTAATGTAAGAGGTCAGTTTATAGACCTCCGGAATAAGTTGATCGACGGGGCGGTTGAGGAAGTGACACACAGCATGCACGTGGCTGCATGGCATCCAGTTCATCCTCCAGCAGCCGCAATCACAATCGCTCCTTGAAAAGTCTACCGTAACCGGAGTTGCATTTTCTATGGCTACTGAGAAAACTCCACTATGATAATTGTGCGGGATTACAACAGTGTGACGCCTTTGTTGCCATCGATCCATAATCTGCTTCCGGATTTTTTCCGGAAATTGATATCCACTTTGATTCCACATCATACCAGCATTACGTCGTTCTACAAAGAGCTGAACAGATTTATCGAAAGTTGCTCTCACAAGTGCTGTAATCGGAAGCGTTCTACATCCTTTTAGGGCATGGTTAAAACTTTCAGATAGATTGGTCGTTAAAATTCCATAACGACATCCACCATCAAAACAAAGTGCACACTTCTCTTTAGGAATGGCATCAAGATAGTTGAATGCTCTTTCATTAGCACCCCGAATTTGTTGCATGTAGTTATTGAATTCATTTAGAATGGGGGTACTTCCGGCACGCCAACACAATTTTTTTTAGATTCTTGCTTCGAAATTGGGACATAAAATTACTTCGAATGTGTCGAAGACAATATTGCCTCTGAATTAGAGGTGTTCCCAATTGTGGCACATTCCGGAACGCACAATCAATAGCGACATGTCGGTCAGATATTATGCAAACATTCCGACACGGAGGAATAATATTTGTCGCAACTAACTGTAAAAGCCACGTCCAACTATCCCCGTTTTCGCTATCTACCACCCCAAAAGCTAGAGGAAAGATTTCACGGTTAGCATTCATTGCCACTGCGACCAACAAAGTGCCTTTGTACTTACCGTACAAATGTGTACCATCAATGGAAATGACCGGAAGACAATGATTGAAACCATCAATCGCTGCTTTGATAGACCAAAATGCATACTTAAATTCATACGTACCTTGTGTATCGGTTTGGTCTGTTCGTAGGTCAACAATGGTGCCTGGATTACTAAATGCCATACTTTGTAGAAGTTTTTGGGAGATCGTTGTACGCTGCCTCCCAATTGCCAAACCATTTCTCCAATGCCAAGATTCGAGCATACCATGCTTTCTTGTAACCCACGTGGATGTTGAACTTCTGTTGTATGTCATGCATGATGAGCTTTACACTATAATCGGGCTTAACAAAAATCTTGGAGCCTATTTCAGAGGCAATTAACTTGCTCGTGAGAAGTTTATCGTTCTTACCTCGTGTGTAGTTGGGAATGCAATCGTGTTTCGGTTGATACTGTTTGACTTTCCACTGTGTGGTGCTTGAATATACCACGCACAAGTTTCATGATGAACACACTTTGCTCGCCAATAATCTATGTGTTTCGCCTCATTACGAAAAGTTCAAAATTCTTTGAGGTTTAGAAAGGACACATCTTGCTTCAACTCTTCGAATGTATCATATACACGACCCACATATATGGGTTGTTCTTCACGATATGTGGGTTCAACGAACTCCTCGTCCTCGTCATCGTTTGGGTTATCATCACTATCTTCAGAACTGCTCTTGTGTTCAGAAAAGGAAAGAGCGTTATAATCAGGATCATCGTCACTATCTGAAGCATCATGGGGGACATTGATGTCAATCATTGGCTGGGAAGTGCCTTGGTTGGCCCAGTTATGTGCACAAGCCCACCTATATTTAACGACTTATAGGACAAATCACAAAAACCATAATATAGTACAATGTAATATATTATGTCATAAAAACCATAAGGCAAATCAAATATTGCATCTAGTGGAAGAACCTGTTGGGGTCGAACCATCGGCAACCTCTCCCATGCCCAAAGTTGTAAAAGGATTAAACATCCTCCCATCGAACATGTGTCCGCCTTCGCCGCTTCACATACGTTGTGGTATAGAAATGCCAACACAGCCGAGCCCCAACTCCACATTGTCATATTCTCTAAATTGTCATGCAAGAACTCAAGAAAGTACAGTGACGCTCTACCAGAAGTGCTAGGGAACAACAACCCACTGAGCAACTGCCAAATCAACGTTTTTGTATGACGAATAATTTCAATTTCTGTGCTCCACGGTGACAACGGAAAGCGCTGAATGGCTAGATTTCTAATGGTGTTGGATGGTATTATATCTTTTTTCAAGTGGCCTGAAACCAAGATAATCATCACACATTTGGACCCATTCAGTCTTACTATGTGCCGTCGGACCAGTAAGTGGGAGACCATCAATCGGTAACCCCATCAGCACCTGTACATCTTGCAAGGTAATGCCTACCTCGCCAAAAGATAAATGGAAAGCATGTGTTTCCGGTCTCCACCTCTCAACTAATGTCGTGAAAGACCCCAATCAATTTTGATTTTTACTATTCGTTCAGCTCCTTGAAAGCCTGATGCCCTCAGCAGTTGTATGACTCCAGGATGACGTTCGCCATCGTCTTTGGCGGATTTGGGGAAAGTAATGCACCTCAGTTTTAAGTCACTCGACGCTTCATTTTTCCACACATTATCAGCACGATGTTCTCCAGGTCTCATCACCAATACAGAACGTTTTCTGGGCCCGGGGTGGCGGTGCTCTCTTTGTGTAGCCATGAAAACCTAATAATATATTAAATTAATTCCTAATCAACATTTATATTTGTAATACTCCGTACGTAATTACAAAATTAATTAAACAACACTATTTATAATACTAATTATATATGTAATTAAACAACACTACTTATAATACAATTTGTAATACAAATAAATACACCTAATTAAAAAACAACATATTTCGTTAACTATAGACTAATACTATACACTAATATTTCGTTAATTAACACAAGTTATAGACTAATTTCTACACCGAAATAGGAAAAATTTCTACAAACGAAAGGTGGACAAAATTATCCAAAAAAGGTTTAGGTTACTAATGCGTGCACATTAGTAAATTTATGCATACATATTTGGTAAATTAACACTACTCTTTCATATTTGGTAAATAAACTAATATTTGGTAAGTTTCCTATTTCACTTTTTTGTTTAGGTTCCTAATTCACAATTACAAATTAACAATATTATAGAATAATTTCATTCCTAAATTACTAACTTTAATTATTAACTAAATTAAACCATTAAATTGGAAAAACTTAATTAATTTATTAATTAACATAACGTAATTTGGAGAAGAACTTAATGTTAAATTACTTAACGTTAATTCATTTCATTCCTACTTCTACAGAGTAACATAATTAAATTAATAACTAAATTAAACTAAAAAAGATTAAGGAAAAACTTACTTGGGTTAAGATGAAGGAGATGGCCGAAATTTGGAGAAGAAGAGAAATTGAAACGGTTAGATGTGTTGTGAAGTGAGATTTGTGGTGGATTTTATAGAGCATATTTGCCAAATATGTTGAGTAATTGGCAATCCGAGCCACCTTATTCTGACCAATAGGAAGATAGACATATTTGGCAAATATGTTGGGAATATATTTATGTAATGCAATAGATTCATAAATCTGCTCAAGTAGATCGAAGCAATCCAAGCCCTTCAGCTGACGATCCAAGATGACGATCCGCGCCTAACACTCTTGACCAATAGGAAGATAGACATATTTGGCAAATATGTTGGGAATATATTCATTTAATGCAACAGATTCGTAGATCTGCTCAATCAGATCGAAGCAATCCATGCCCTTCAGCTGGCGATCCAAGATGGCGATCTGCGCATAACACTCTTGACCAATAGGAAGATGGACATATTTGCCAAATATGTCATGGTACATATTTTTTTTCCTTTCGCAATTACTGAACGTATTTGCCAAATATGTTCAACCAATTCAACCAATAACTCAGTCAAACCTACACCTTTTGGAAACACCTGCAAGAAACATACCTTGTTCTGTCATTTACTCGATCAATTATGTACTGATTGGTGGTTATTTTTAAACTGTGTACGTTTAAACAAAACCATTTACTTTTAAATCCAGACCTTTTATAAATCAATTTAGTTGATTTGTAGAATTTATGGATTTCATATAAATGATGTCTATCAATTCCATAAAAAATATAAGTTTGAAAAAGAATTATGTTAGTACATGTGGTCCCACCCTGGTCCCGATTCCGCATTGGCTAGTCCTGGTTATTGCCTCCCGGTTCTAACATGTGGAGGCTAGAAACCGACCCGGATATATGGGTCCCGGTTTGTTCTTGGGTACTCTAGTAACTCGGTTGTTCTCGGGTTTGGTTTGGCCGGTTTTTTCTAATTTTTATGTATTACTCCTTGTTAGGCATGGACCCGGTTCGGGAACCGGCTCGGCCCGGTGCCTCAGGTCCGAAACCGGTCCTTGGCCCGGTTTGAAAGGTAAGAGCCCGTTTGCTAGCACCAAAATTGGCTGTTTTGGCTGATTCTGCTGAAATTTATGATATTTTGGCTGAAGTGGCTGTTTTGGCTGATTCTGCTGATTTAAGAAAAAAATATTTTAAAAATATATTTTATTAATAAAATAAAGAAAAAATTATATGTAAAAATAGCTAAAATGGTCATCTACAGTAACTTCAGCCAATACAGCCAGAAAAGTAACTCCAACCTTACTTTTTCTGCTTATTACACAATTCAGCGCGCGAAAGTAAAAGTTACGTGTTTGGTGAAAAAGCTGGCTGATAAGCCTGATAAGCCGAAAACAGAGGTCTCCAAACGGGCTCTAAAGCGGGCCGGGCTCGGGCTGCTGAAATGGGGACATGGCCCGCTCGGGCCCAGTTCAGGCCCAAAAATATTCTTTTTTCAATTTTATTGGGCTTCCCGGGTTGGGCTTGATGTTTTGGGGGGGTTTGGGGTGGGGGGGGGGGGGGGGTCAGGGGGTACTTAAGAAAGAAAGCAAAAAAAAATATTACAACCAGGCCCGAGGCCTGAACCGGACTCGGTGGCAACCAGGGCCGGTTCCGAGCCTTCCCCTTAACACAAAAGGCCCGACCGGGCCTAGCCCGGCCTGGACCCGGTTTGGTCCATGCCTAGTCCCTGTGGCTTACTAAGCTTGTTCAATCCTTTTTGTTCGGTCTCACTAAGTTTGCCTCATATTACTGTAGAAATGGAGACTTGGCAAGCTTTTTTGAAATTTGAACTAGTGAGCGAATTTTAGAACCAATGTGTTTGTGAAGCCCTGCCGTAACAGCGTGACACTACCATGGCGAACAATAATTTATAAACTCAACAGATTAAGAGTTTTTTTCCATCATTTGAAATGGAGTCAAAGATTCATTATTTTTTGGATTGGAAATTTGATTGAATAAAACAAAGGAAAAATTGATAGTAATAATCCCAACTATTGGCGGTCCGCTCATAATAATATAACTATCGATTATTTCAGAATAATCCCAACTTTAAGGACCTTCCGCCAATAATGATCCGACATGACCGGCTATAAATAAATTTTTATAGTTTCTGAAGTGGATGAGAAGAGATATAGCAAGTAATCTCTATAAATAATCCCAACTTTTAATTTTTTCGCTTAATTTCTATTTTAAATTCACTTGTTGGAGCAGGTAATATCTGATTATGGACCATTATTGACGGACGGTCCATATAGTTGGGATTATACAAAAATATTCAATAGTTGGGATTATTGTTAGCGGACCGACAATAGTTGGGATTATTATTTTCAATTTTTCCTAAAACAAAATGGCTCACTAAAGTGTATGTGCTTCTCTATAATGAAGCAGCAGTCAGTCGGTCAGTCCATGCAATTTTCGACGGGATTTTCACCACGGGTCATCTGAAAATAGTCTCTCTGTACTTTAGACACAAGTAATGGTGTGTACATCCGACATTCCGACCTCCTTACTCCACCGTAGGTGGAGCCTTTGCGACATAGGGGTACTGATGATGATGAACAAATTAAGAGTTTGGGAGACAACAACTGGTCAAGTTCATATTATTTAATAAGTTCAACTTGAAATATAAAAATAAGCATATGAGGCATCATTACACTTGGTGTCATTAATTCAAAAATAAAATCCTATTTTTGCATGCTAAATAAATAAGTGCCATGCCTTACATTTCATCCCAATAAAGCGAATTGGTTTTTGCCATTATCAGGTTATCAGCCAATTTAGTTAGTCTAGACAAATAAAGTTAGATTTTGACAATGATAATAACTAAACTATAGGGAAAAAGGTTTGTGCCTAACGAGCACCAAACCACAATCCAAACAATATAAACAATACAATAAAACGTCATTAAAGTAGCCTTACCTTAAAAAAACTATTATCTTTTGGGCCTCTTAATATTGTGAAAGAACGCTGCAGGAAGACATGAATTATGAGGAATGATAAAACTCTAAATCCATAACATAGATTAGGCATGGACCGGTTCCGGTCGGCCCGGCCCGGAACCGGCCCGACCCGCCATTGTGCGGGCCCGGACGGGCCCGGTGAACCGGGCTTAGGACCGGCCCGATGTGTTAGAGCGATCCGGTTCCGGGCCTACCCTTCCTTTGGAACCGGCCCGGTCGGAGCGGGCCCGGTTCGGGCCTATTTATTTTATTTTTTTGTTTTTTTCAATTTTTTTTTTGTTTTTCCCGGGTTGGGCTAGATGTTTTGGGGGGGTTTGGGTGTTGGGGGGGGGGGTCAGGGGTTAATTAGAAAGCAAAAAAAAAAAAAAGCCCGGACCCAGTTGCAAACCGGGCCGATTCCGGGCCAGTTCGCCTTTTGCTTGACCCGGGCCCGGAAGCGCTTAACCCCTCGGGCCTAGGCCCGAACCGGAACCGGAACCGGTTTCCCGGGCCGGGCCGGGCGGCCCGAACCGAGTCCATCCCTAATGAAGGTACCAAATAATAAAACTACATGGCGGTTTTGTTTTCTTCATTTTCTACCATAAAAATATGCATCACAACATCACCTACTCAGATGTTATTTGCAGTCCGTTTCAGTTAAAGAAATAAATTGATAATTTTACTTCGACTTGCTGTAAACAGGGGCGGAGCTACTGGGGTCAGGGTGGTCAGCCGACCCCGCTGAAAATTTAAGATAGTAGAGCTCTGAAATATCTTTGATTTGATATATTATGGCTCTCGTAACTCATTACGAGTAAAAAGTTATGACTTCTGCAAAATCAGCACTATTTAAGTTTGAAATTAGTAAAATTGTGATGCGTAATATTAATTATATTCACAAAATAGCGTGTAATTCACTCGTTACTTACGTGACATGACTTAGGGACATGAGCAAATACAACATATCTTACTGCTACGAGTGTCTACTCAATAAATGATTCTTTTCTAGTAAGAAATCTTGATACTAAACCGAGTAAGATCGAAGAGAACCATAGAGTGCTAGGATAAGACAATGGGTCTCCTGGCTGTAAATACATGATTTATGGCATAGAACATGAAACTCCACATCGTAACAGTAAATTTAAACCGAAATACGGAGTATAACTTTTCATAAGCTAAAATTATACAAATACTTCATGAAATGATCATAACTTTTCAGAAAATGGAATTTTAAGCCATTTGGAAACTCAACAAGTTGAAATAAGCCCAATCACAATTTCATTAAGATATGGAAAAGAAAACAAACTAATTATTGAATCATTTAAAGAAAATAAAATTACATATTTAATTCAATAAAATTGGCAATATGCCTGTTCAATTCGTTTAAATCAAAATGAAAATTAGGCAAAAAAAATTTAAACCAGAGACAGAAAACCTGGCTGGAGGATGGAAAATCCTTTCATTCTCTCGCACTGATTTCTTTCATTTGAATCAGAAAATGTGGAGGTCTTCGTGTCCTGACGTTTCTCTTGCCCTGGTTTATAAATATTCCATCAGAAGAATGCACGACGGAATGATCCTCAATTCGTTTCCCCTCTCCTCATTTCTTTGCTTTCGTATAAGGAATAGAGGAGCGATATCTTAAAACCTGGACTGATTGGGTAAGGACTAAGGAGGGACTTGGATGCAATTTAAATATATTTTTAACAGATTTAATTTTTTTTAATAAATAACCGACCAGATTGTGTGAAGTGTGAAATGCACCAAAACAGTTCAAAACATGAGTGCACCGTAAAATTTTCCTAACGAAAAATGCTTAAAACACAACACTACAGGTCTGTCATTACAATTTAGTATAGTTTAGATTACATTTGAGTAAATCCAATCAATAACTTTAGGAAAAGTTTTCTATCAAGAAGTGCAACTGCATAGGGAGAGGCTTACTTTCCTCCAAAAAGCAAAAAATGGTGCTAACTCTTGCGTGTTCTGTAGATTGCATACACTAGCAACCATGGGACTGAAATGCTATATATTGGAAAATGGATGAATGGGTTCATTTCATATGCTTTCAAAAGAACTCGGCAACTCTGCATACAAAAAGTCATACTTCAAACTCAAAAAAAGAAGTAAAGATGCAAAATACAGAGAAAAGTTTTCACGTTATCTATAATTTTCTTTCCCCAGGCCATACTTGATCACTCAATTTGGTGTTCAACTTTTTATCTTATTAAATATTACCCTCAACAATGAAATTCAGAACCAATTTTTAGTCCTTATACATATTTGGTTACAAAACCAGGTTTTCCTACCCAACCACTAAATTGGGACTCAATTTGGCCCTCAACATAATATACATTGGACACAATTTAGTGCCCAACATACGAAAACGACATTCTTAATTAGAGTGGAATATGCGCGAGGACTAAATTGTGAACAGAAAGTCAAGGACCATATTGAGTGATGGTGTAGCTGAAGCATCAAATGGGGTATACTTCATTTAAAGACTGCAGTACTGAAAATCTTCATGCCCAATCTTGAACAACTTGTAATTATACTTCAAATTTGGCTCAGAGAAAGAAACATAGAAACATATTCTCAAAAGCCTCAAATGAAGCGAATATAACTTACCAGGAAATGGACACAACAAATTGTCAAACATATCACCATGAGGACCTTCCTAATCCAACGCACACTATGAGGTAAAGAATTGGATCCCTTCTTGGAATCAAAATCATCCTCTTTTTTACCAGAAAGAAAACGCTTGCTATCTCGATGTACTCCTGCTTCAACAATCAATGCTCCAATTACGAGACAAGTAGGCAGCACCACGACATAAAGATGTGGGATAACAACCACCATTACATCCGGAAACCCTACAAATTGTATATTCTCCTTTGTGAAATAATTGAATGCCCAACCACGATAAGTCATGTATCCTTTTTCTCCTTCTGCGAGACCTTGACCACAAAGCCAGGGGCATAATATGAGGTAAAACAAATAACCAATCATGCCAACCCATACCCATTGAACACTGTATAATTCTGTCATAATCCATCTGACATTATTTACTAGTTCTCTGTTGTTATTAAAATTCATACCATAAGTACTGAGCTGCCGTCTAGAAAATGATATTATAGTTTTTGGAACTAGAAGAAGGGAAAGAACAATTATGTAAAGGGACCATAATAATGGGTAATACAAAGCATCCCATTGAAACATCATAACCATAAATTCTTTCCAATTATGTGAGAGCATATTACGTTGACCAACAGAGAATGGCCGTAATTCAGTCAAAGATGATCTTCCTCTGATGTCAACCGCCCTTATTTGCAAAAAAAATCGCTCAGGCGATGGATCTTCAAAGGAATTGAAATCCCACGGGCAACTGTAAAGGTCCCCCCTTGATGAGGATGAATTCTGCATTTTCATCATTCCAGACTCTGATACCAAACTGAGACTTCCCAGCTTTGAATCGTAGATCCTGGCCACGACAGACACTATTTGTGAAGAAGAAAACACAAGAGCTCTTATGTGACTGGAAAATGTGGGACCCACTGGTGGGGAGTTGTCTAAAACAAAACGCGAGTCAGGTGGGAATGTAGGCAATATAATAGTACTTTCCTTCATCCTCAATCTGAAGTCTAAATCTATAAATGAAATAAAACCTCTATCAACAGCCAAAATACGCATTGTTCTGCTCTTCTTCCAATCACCCATTTCCCACTCCCAAAATCCATGAGCTTCGTTGAGATTATTCTTAGAGAGGTGTTTGGGCCTCTCATGAAGCCTTTTTAAATTCTTCCCAAACGTTGTGTGCAAATGCCCACATAGGTAAACAGACAAAGATTGGTTCAGAAATACATCCTTCAAAGTCCTCCCAGAATATGCTGCAGCAGAAAAGGACAATGGAAAATGCCCAAATGAAATTTTCAGAAGAGATGCTGCGGGTGCAGTGTCCCATTGTGAAAGTTCTGAGTTCATTTCAGCTAACAGGTGATCAGTTGGGTGACCAAATAAGTTAGTTGGGCCCCGTAACCCTGACGACATTGTGCTGTCAAACGCAACGAAAAGTAGATTGCAGGTGCCGGTCTGGATGATGGATCACATGCATCAAAGAACGAGAAAAAGCTGAGTGTTTTCAATAACATCCACGTAAAACAAACATGCTAGGATTATTAGTACAACATGCATCAAAGAACGAGAAAAGGATGTATGGTTTTCAGTAACATCCACGTAAAACAAACGTGTTAATTACTATGCTGGGATTACTAGTACAACCAAAACAAACAGACAGAACTCAGGACTTGGTTATCTCAACCGACACATAATACATTTGGGTCAGACCATACTAAAATATTAGTATCTAGCTATAAGAACTCGGCAGCTTATTTGGCGCCCATATCAGTCGAATAACCCGCACCAAACGGGCTCTTATTTATAATCATCACGTAAGTGCCCCAAAACAGGGTGCAGAAACAGGATAGTAAATAACCTGAACTCTAACACTGTTGACCCGCCCAGTTCTTCTTAGCTGTCCATTGATGCTATATTTTGAGTAAAAATCAAACGAACTACCAATGCTTGCACCATATGTATCATGATTTCCCCTAAGGTCAAAGAAATTAGTCTTGTTTAGTCCACTCTTTTTAATGACATCTTCCATAACTTCCTGATATTCTAACCATTCCGCTTCATCTTGATTTGATGTTAGCAAATCCTTGCTTTTTGCATCTGCAAGAAGTTCAGATGTTGATAAATTCAGAAAACATGACCCAATTGAGAGTGTAGATAAATATTATTGCTAGATTGCATGAACAACTATTTTGGGAGCATACAACATGAAACATAATGTTAAAGCAAAAAAAATACGGAGTAGATAATACATTAATAATCACAAGAGTAACGATGGGTATCTAATGGTTGAGGAGAATGAGGTAGATTTAAGTCTTAATGAATGAAGGCTTTGTACTCTCTATTCATAATAATACCCCGAGTAGTGAAGCAAATAGTTACCGGTTAGGTCACCGGTGAGGAAAACCAGGGAAGGATTGACCATGGAGAGAGTAGGGCCCACAATGTGCTTGAAGTCCAGTGCTCTCTCTGGATGGTGGGAGCTAAAGTGCAGATCAGATAGCTGAACCACCCAGGCGACATCCTCTGGTCCGCCCTGGAGCTCTATAGTGGTTCCCTTACCGCCGGTATCATCATGGTGGCCTTCACTCCCTAAGCCGCCGGCGCGTGATGCAAATATCAACACGATCGCTATAAGGCGGCATAAATGGAAGATTAGGCTGATCAAAGTGATCATTGCGTTGCGGGACAGGTCAGATTAGTACCCATCAGATAATCTTGTTTCTCTTTGTACAGTTGATATCAGATAAATGGAAGATTAGGCTGATCAAAGTGATCATTGCGTTGGGGTACATTTTGGGGACCTATAGAATTTTTGAACTCATTCCGTACCTAATACTCCGGAAGGGCATACCGTACAGTCCGGGCTCCACCTACAGCCGTGTTAAGGCTGGCACCTATAGCAGACCGGCAGACCCTTTCCTTTGGTGAAAATCACGGTTACCCTTCAATAGGTATTAATGTAATTTTAATGAATATTACTTATTTTTATTAATAAGTATTAGGAATCTGAATATCATCATTTTGTTAAAGGAAATTACATGTAGTGTGCTATTATTATAGATAGAATATATCTGTGGAAATGATCTGTACATTATTAATGGGCCCTGAGGCACATGGATTGTAACCCTTGCCTATCCCTATTTAATGGGAGCTTTCTATGCAGTGATAATACGCCAATTCCCTAAAACACGTTATCAGCACTGCTCATAATGGCCACTCTCTCTCTCTCTTTTCTCCCGCAGAAGCCAGCTAAAATATTAGCCCATCCCCTGCTTTTATTTTTGGCTTGGTCTCCTGGTGTCCCATCTGCATCTCAGTTGGTACTCAGTCCTCAGCCTACCGTTCAAAAACTACTCGCAGATCCACAGCGCACTAAAATGGGTCCTCAAAGACGATTAGGTATATATGTTGGCTATGAATCTCCAACTATAATCCGTTATTTGGAACCTTTGACAGGTGATCTCTTTACCGCAAGATTTGCGGATTGTCACTTTGATGAGACAACATTCCCGTCGTTAGGGGGAGATGGGAAAAAGGAGTTTCCAAAAGAACGCAAGGAATTATCCTGGTGCGTTCCCACCTTGTCTCATTTTGATCCCCGCACTTCACAATGTGAAGGAGAAGTCAAAAGAATAATCGATCTCCAAAATGTAGCAGACTCTATGCCTGATGCATTTATGGACATCGCTAAAGTGACTAGATCACACATACCTGCTGCAAATGTGCCTGCAAGGTTAGATATTCCCACAAAGGGTAATAGTGCCATAGTAGGAGGCACCACAACTACACTTAGTGGAGGTGTGGTTGAGGCCGTGGCTCCTCAAAGGAAGAGAGGAAGACCACTTGGTTCGATTGATACTCGCCCAAGGAAGAGGAAGACGAGTAAGGCACCACTTGATCCATTGATCATCGATGTACATCATCCTTCCCATGAGATTATCTCTGATTATAGTTATGTCCACGAATCATTACTGGAGGACGCTCCGATGTTATATATGGTTCTAGAAAATAAAGAAATCTCAATGGATAGTGAAAATGCACATGTGTTAATGGAAAGATCTTTCATACGCATCGATAATATATTTGCGTTTACTGTTGCTCAAGAAATTATAGAGCACGATGATATCGAACCACGCTCTGTTGCAGAATGTCAACTAAGAGCAGATTGGCCTAAATGGAAAGAAGCAATCCAGGCAGAATTAGATTCTCTGACAAAAAGGCAGGTATTTGGTCCGGTAGTGCTAACCCCACCAAGTGTAAAGCCTGTGGGACATAAATGAGTATTTGTCAGAAAGCGTAATCAGAAGAATGAAGTCTTAAGATACAAGGCTCGCCTTGTGGCGCAAGGTTTCTCACAACGCCCTGGGATTGACTACGAGGAGACATACTCTCCTGTAATGGACGCTATAACGTTCCGATACTTAGTGAGCTTAGCAGTTTCCGAAGGACTAGAAATGCAATTAATGGATGTAGTTACTGCATATCTCTATGGGGATCTTGACTCAGAGATATATATGAAAGTACCTGATGGACTTTCACTGCCCAAATCAAGTGACTTTAAACCACGGAGTGCATTTGCAATAAAATTGAAACGCTCACTTTACGGATTAAAACAATCCGGACGAATGTGGTACAACCGTCTAAGTGACTACCTGATTACAAAGGGATATAAGAACGACGAACTATGCCCCTGTGTATTCATTAAGACAATGAGTTCCGGATTTGCAATTGTAGCTGTATATGTCGATGACATGAACATAATTGGCACTCTTGATGAAATAAGAGAAACCGCAAGTTACCTAAAATCCGAATTTGAGATGAAGGACCTTGGGAAAACTCAATTTTGTCTAGGACTAGAGCTAGAACATCGAGTTTGTGGAGTATTAATCCACCAGTGTGCACATATCCAAAAGATGCTCAGGCGATTTAATATGGATAAAGCGCACCCTGCTAGCACTCCCATGGTTAGTCGAAGTTTGGATCCTAAAAAGGACTCATTTCGTCCAAAGGAAGATGACGAAGATGCATTAGGAGCTGAAATTCCTTACCTAAGTGCAATAGGCGCATTATTGTACTTAGCACAATGCACTCGACCAGATATAGCATTCTCAGTGAACTTATTGGCTAGATTTAGCTCCGCGCCAACGCAACGTCACTGGAACGGTATAAAAAATATGTTCCGATACCTAAAAGGAACTAGTGATTTGGGACTATTCTTTCCCTATAAAGAGACAAAAGAAAATACCAAAGACAAAATAATCACCCCCCTTAAGAAAATTCCAAATGATGTCTTGGTAGGTTTTGCTGATGCTGGGTATCTCTCTGACCCTCACAAAGGCCGCTCTCAAACCGGATACGTTTTCACAATTGGTAACACGGCAATATCTTGGAGATCAACTAAACAAACCCTTGTGGCTACCTCCTCGAATCACTCCGAGATTATTGCTCTACACGAGGCGGTTCGTGAATGTATATGGTTAAGAGCTATCATTACACATATTCGAGGAACTAGTGGCTTAAAATCTACCACTGACGAGCCTACTTGCATTTATGAGGATAATGCAGCTTGTATCGAACAAATGAAGTTAGGATATATCAAGGGTGATAACACAAAACACATATCTCCCAAATTCTTCTACAATCAGCAACAACAGGCCTTGCTCAAAATTCAAGTGAATCAAATAAGCTCAGAAGAAAATGTAGCAGACTTGTTTACTAAGTCATTACCCAAGGCCACTTTTGAAAAACACGTAAAGAGCATAGGAATGCGAAAGCTTTCTGAGCTCCCCTGATAAATGTAAATATCAGGGGGAGGTGTAGACATGAGGGGGAGTCTTTCACCTACCCACCATTACGTTATACTCTTTTCCTTAAACCAAGGTTTATTTTTCCCACTGGGTTTTGTTACTTGGTAAGGTTTTTAATGAGATAACGATACTTATTGATCAAGGTAAGGATCAAATGAAGAAAGACTTGAAGGACGAAGTCTAACACAACTTTCATATTGTTACATCTTTTCTTCACAAACAAGGTTATTTTTCCCACAGGGTTTATTGTTACTTGTTGAAACTCCTACAAGGCATCATGTCGAATATCATTCTATCTACAACTCAGCACAAGGGGGAGTGTTAAAGGAAATTGCATGTAGTGTGCTATTATTATAGATAGAATATATCTGTGGAAATGATCTGTACATTATTAATGGGCCCTGAGGCACATGGATTGTAACCCTTGCCTATCCCTATTTAATGGGAGCTTTCTATGCAGTGATAATACGCCAATTCCCTAAAACACATTTCTATTTTATACGAAATATTTTCTAATTTACTGTTTTTCTTTTTTTTTTAATTTTTTAAATTACATATATAAACAACTCCTAAGAATTTCAATATGCGAATGTTAATGATTGGGAACTTTGGGCAATGATTTTAATTATTATATTTATATAGAATTTATAAAATTTATACTTTTTGAAAATATTTTGAATAAGGAACATCTTGATGATATAATTTTCATACTCTAATTAATTTTGTATTAAAAAATATCATTGGTCAAAGTTGATTGTCATTAACCAAGAAAAGTCAACCTGATGAACCTTTTCGGGACAAAGGGAGTATGACAGTTTTGAAATATGCATTGATATTACATTTTAAAATTAGCATAAAACCAAAACCAAATGAGCATACATAACTTACAAAATGAGCATCAAAAAATTCAAAAACTCATTTGAATTTGCTAATGTATTCAGATAACCATTTATGTATGCTCATTTCTTTTAATCATTATGCTCATTTGAATATAACATAAACTCTTTTCTATACTCTTTTATTAACAAATTAATAAACTACTACATATCATTATATTTAACAATGAGAAATATTAAAAAGTTATATTAAAAATAATTTATAGTCTTTTGTTCTTGAATTACAAATATTATTTTTTTAGCGTGAGCCTAATTAAAATTTAGGGATAAGGGATTTGAATTACAAATGTAATCGTGTTATTTTTATAATATTTAATCATGCATATTTATTTTACACTATACTTGTTTTAGAATACCACAAAATTCATGTTAGTAATTAACACACAATATTTAATAAACTAATAAATATTTATCGTAAAATGAAAAACAAAAAAAAAACAAAATATTAATTACCTAAATTATTTTATCATGCACAAATTTTTTAAAAAAAAACTTAAGTTAGAAAAAAGGTTTATGATTTTTTTTATTAGACATTTTCATAATAATTGTATAAAAAGTTAAAGCAAAAGGTTTTTAAATAAAAAATAAGAAAAAGAAAAAAGGACAACAACAGGTAATGTACGAAACAAAAGAAAAGAAAAAAAAGGAAGAAAAAGTAAAACAAAGGATCAGCATAGTCCTAGTCATTACAATGTAGTATCATGGTAACTTATGTTTAAAAATTGAACATAAATGACTATGATCTCTGTTACGGTATTGGGCCGAAGCCCAACATATCCGGCCCAGAACATAGAAAGGTCGGAAGAAAGTTTGATGCCCAAAGCAGCCAGAGAAATTCTAGACATCCCGTTCGGGGTGGTACCCGAACAGCATTCAGAGCAACTTATCCACTTGAGCAGTTGAGCTAACTAACGAAGCACTGACATTGGAACACCCACTGGGAAGTCCCGCACCCCGAACGGGGTACCCGACCAGGAAGCCAACAAGTGGCAACCACATTTAATGCTGAATTATGGCGGTAGCAAGTGGAGGCATGGGTGCAAAGGCGGCAGAGGTAGCAGCCAGCCGGGACCAGCCACGTCGTCATCCCACCTACCCCCTTCTTAGTATAAATACCTGCATTGAATACATTGTAAATGGTTAATATTTGAATACTCAGAGCTTAATAAGAGAATTATTATTCTAGTTCTTGTACTAGACACTAT